ATTTTCGCAGGCAGCGGCCAGAAATCGGGCGATTTTCGCAGGCAGCGGCCAGAAATCGGGCGATTTTCGCAGGCAGCGGCCAGAAATCGGGCGATTTTCGCAGGCAGCGGCCAGAAATCGGGCGATTTTCGCAGGCAGCGGCCAGAAATCGGGCGATTTTCGCAGGCAGCGGCCAGAAATCGGGCGATTTTCGCAGGCAGCGGCCAGAAATCGGGCGATTTTCGCAGGCAGCGGCCAGCGGGCGATTTTCGCAAATCGGGCGATTTTCGCAGGCAGCGGCCAGAAATCGGGCGATTTTCGCAGGCAGCGGCCAGAAATCGGGCGATTTTCGCAGGCAGCGGCCAGAAATCGGGCGATTTTCGCAGGCAGCGGCCAGAAATCGGGCGATTTTCGCAGGCAGCGGCCAGAAATCGGGCGATTTTCGCAGGCAGCGGCCAGAAATCGGGCGATTTTCGCAGGCAGCGGCCAGAAATCGGGCGATTTTCGCAGGCAGCGGCCAGAAATCGGGCGATTTTCGCAGGCAGCGACCAGAAATCGGGCGATTTTCGCAGGCAGCGGCCAGAAATCGGGCGATTTTCGCAGGTAGCGGCCAGAAATCGGGCGATTTTCGCCTCTAGCGGCCAAAAATCGCGCGATTTTCGCCACTAGCGGCCAAAAATCGCGCGATTTTCGCCACTAGCGGCCAAAAATCGCGCGATTTTCACAGGTAGCGGCCAAAAATCGCGCGATTTTCGCAGGTAGCGGCCAGAAATCGGGCGATTTTCGCCGCTAACGGTGAAAAATCGGGCGATTTTCGCCGCTAGCGGCCAAAAACCGCGCGATTTTCGCCGCTAGCGGGGAAAATTCGCACGATTTTCGTTGCTAGCGGGCAAAAATCGGGCAATTTTCAGCGCTAGCGGCCAAAAACCGGGCGATTTTCGCCGCTAGCGGCCAAAAATCGCGCGACTTTCGGCGGTAGCGGTCAAAAATAGGGCGAATTTTGCCGTTAGAGGGCAAAATCCGCGCGACTTTCGCCGCTAGCGGGGAAAAGTCGCGCGATTTTCGGCGCGAGCGGGCAAAAATCGGGCGATTTTCGCCGCTAGCGGCCAAAAATCGGGCGAATTTTGCCGCTAGCGGGAAAAACTTGCGCGACTTTCGCAGCTAGCGGCCAAAACCCGCGCGATTTTCGCCGCTAGCAGGCAAAAATCAGGCGATTTTCGCAAGAAGCGGCCAGAAATCGGGCGATTTTCGCCGCTAGCGGTGAAAATTCGCGCGATTTTCGGCGCTAGCGGGGAAAAATCGGGTGATTTTCGCCGCTAGCGGCCAAAAACCGGGTGATTTTCGCCGCTAGCGGCCAAAAATCGCGCGATTTTCGGCGGTAGCGGCCAAAAATAGAGCGAATTTTGCCATTAGAGGGCAAAATTCGCCCGATTTTTGGCCGCCTCTGCTCATGTAGAGGGCCCCTGTGGAGTACCCCTGCGCACGTAGAGGGCCCCTGTGGAGTACCCCCTGCTCATGTAGAGGGCCCCTGTTGAGTATTCTCACCCCTGTTCCTGTAGAGGCCCCACAGTGAAGTATTCCCACCCCTGCGCATGTAGAGGGCCCCTGTTGAGTACCCTCTGCTCACGTAGAGGGCCCCTGTGGAGTACCCCCTGCTCATCTAGAGGGCCCCTGTCGAGTACCCCCTGCTCATCTAGAGGGCCCCTGTCGAGTACCCCCTGCTCATGTAGAGGGCCCCTGTGGAGTACCCTCTGCTCATCTAGAGGGGCCGCTGTGGAGTATTCCCATCCCTGCTCATGTAGAGGGCCTCTGTAGAGCACCCCTGCTCATGTAGAGGGCCCCTGTGGAGTACCCCCTGCTCACGTAGAGGGCCCCTGTGGAGTACCCCCTGCTCACGTAGAGGGCCCCTGTGGAGTACCCCCTGCTCATGTTAAGGGCCCCTGTGGAGTATTCCCACTCCAGCTCATGTAAAGGGTCCCTGTTGAGTACGCCCTGCTCACGTAGAGGGCCCCTGTGAAGTATTCCCTCCACTGCTTATGTAGAGGGCCCCTGTTGAGTAACCCCTGCTCACGTAGTGGTCCCCTGGTGAGAATCCCCTGCTCATGTAGAGGGCCCCTGTAGAGTATTCCCACCCTGCTCATGTAGAGGGTCCCTGTTGAGTACCCCCTGCTCTCGTAGAGGGCCCCTGTGGAGTATTCCCACCACTGCTTATGTAGAGGGCCCCTGTGGAGTACCCCCTGCTCATGTAGAGGGCCCCTGTGGAGTACCCCCTGCTCATGTGGAGGGTCCATGTGGAGTATTCCCACTCCTGCTCATGTAGAGGGTCCCTGTTGAGTACGCCCTGCTCATGTAGAGGGCCCCTGTGGAGTATTTCCACCCCTGCTCACGTAGAGGGCCCCTGTGGAGTACCCCCTGCTCATGTAGAGGGCCCCTGTGGAGTACCCCCTGCTCATGTAGAGGTCCCCTGTGGAGTATTTCCAGCCCTGCTCACGTGAAGGGCCCCTGTGGAGTACCCCCTGCTCATGTAGAGGGCCCCTGTGGAGTATTTCCACCCCTGCTCACGTAGAGGGCCCCTGTGGAGTACCCCCTGCTCATGTAGAGGGCCCCTGTGGAGTATTTCCAGCCCTGCTCACGTGAAGGGCCCCTGTGGAGTACCCCCTGCTCATGTAGAGGGCCCCTGTGGAGTATTTCCACCCCTGCTCATGTAGAGGGCCCCTGTTTAGTACCCCCTGCTCATGTGGAGGGCTCCTGTGAAGTATTCCTGCCCCTGCTCATATAGAGGGCCCCTTTTGAGTACCCCTGCGCACGTAGAGGGACCCTGTGGAGTACCCCATGCTCACGTAGAGGGCCCCTGTGGAGTATTCCCACCACTGCTTATGTAGAGGGCCCCTGTGGATTACCCCCTGCTCATGTAGAGGGCCCCTGTGGAGTACCCTCTGCTTATGTGGAGGGTCCCTGTGGAGTATTCCCACCCCTGCTCATGTAGAGGGTCCCTGTTGAGTACGCCCTGCTCACGTAGAGGGCCCCTGTGGAGTACCCCCTGCTCACGTAGAAGGCCCCTGTGGAGTACCCCTTGCTCATGTAGAGGGTCCCTGTATAGTACCCCATGCTCATGTGGAGGGCCCCTGTGAAGTATTCCTGCCCCTGCTCATGTAGAGGGCCCTTGTGGAGTATACCCTGCTCATGTAGAGGACCCCTGTGGAGTATTTCCATCCCTGCTCACGTAGAGGGCCCCCTGTGGAGTATTACCACCCCTGCTCATGTAGACGGCCCCTGTGGAATACCCCTGCTCATGTAGAGGGCGCCTGTTAAGTAACCCCTGCTCACGTTGCGGTCCCCTGGTGAGTATCCCCTGCTCATGTAGAGGGCCCCTGTGGAGTATTTCCACCCCTGCTCATGTAGAAGGCCCCCTGTGGAGTATTCCCACTCCTGCTCATGTAGAGGGCCCCTGTGGAGTACCCCCTGCTCATGTAGAGGGCCCCTGCGAATTACCTTCTGCTCATGTAGAGGGTCCCTGTGGGGTATTATTACCCTTGCTCCTGTAGAGGGCCCCCCTGTGGAGTATTCCCACCCCTGCTCATGTAGAGGGCTCCTGTTGAGTATCCTTGCTCATGTAGAGGGCCCCTGTGGAGTATTCCCACCCCTGTTCACGTAGAGGGGCCCCTGTGGAGTACCCCCTGCTCATGTAGAGGGCCCCTGTGGAGTACCCTCTGCTCGTCTAGAGGGGCCCCTGTGGAGTATTCCCACCCCGGCTCATGTAGAGGGCCTCTGTAGAGTACCCTCTGCTCACGTAGAGGGCCCCTGTGGAGTATTCCCATCCCTGCTCACGTAGCGAGCCCCTGTGGAGTATTTCCACCCCTGCTCACGTAGAGGGCCCCTGTGGAGTACCCCCTGCTCGTGTAGAGGGCCCCTGTTTAGTACCCCCTGCTCATGTGGAGGGCTCCTGTGAAGTATTCCTGCCCCTGCTCATGTAGAGGGCCCCTTTGGAGTATTCCCACCACTGCTTATGTGGAGGGCCCCTGTGGAGTACCCCCTGCTGATGTAGAGGGGCCCCTGTGGAGTACCCCCTGCTCATGTGGAGGGTCCCTGTGGAGTATTCCCACTCCTGCTCATGTAGAGGGCCCCTGTTGAGTACCCCCTGCTCACGTAGAGGGCCGCTGTGGAGTACCCCTTGCTCATGTAGAGGGTCCCTGTGGAGTACCTCCTGCTCATGTGGAGGGCCCCTGTGGAGTACCCCCTGCTCATGTAGAGGGCCCCTGTGAATTACCCTCTGCTCATGTAGAGGGTCGCAATCCCTGTGGGGTATTATCACCCCTGCTCCAGTAGAGGGCCCCCCATGTGGAGTATTCCCACCCCTGCTCATGTAGAGGGCTCCTGTTGAGTATCCCTGCTCATGTAGAGGGCCCCTGTGGAGTACCCCCTGCTCACGTAGCGGGCCCCTGTGGAGTACCACCTGCTCATCTAGAGGGCCCCTGTGGAGTATTCCCATCCGTGTTCATGTAGAGGGCCCTTGTGGAGTACCCTCTGCTCACGGAGAGGGCCCCTGTGGAGTATTCCCACCCCTGCTCACGTAGGGGGCCCCCTGTGGCGTACCCCTTGCTCATGTAGAGGGCCCCTGTGGAGTATTTCCACCCCTGCTCACGTAGAGGGGCCCCCTGTGGAGTACCCCCTGCTCATGTAGAGTGCCCCTGTTTAGTACCCCCTGCTCATGTAGAGGGCCCCTGTGGAATAATCGCATCCCTACTCCTGTGGAGGGCCCATGTCGAGTAGTCCCATCCCTGCTCATGTAGAGGGCCCCCGTGTGGAGTATTCCCACCCCTGCTCATGTAGAGGGCCCCCGTGTGGAGTATTCCCACCCCTGCTCATGTAGAGGGCCCCCGTGTGGAGTATTCCCACCCCTGCTCATGTAGAGGGCCCCCGTGTGGAGTATTCCCACCCCTGCTCATGTAGAGGGCCCCCGTGTGGAGTATTCCCACCCCTGCTCATGTAGAGGGCCCTATGCCCATGACTTATGCACTGACCTGCGTGGTGGTATTGAGGTTAATGTCGAGGCGGGACTCCACAGTGTCCAGCCGACGGACTAGACGCTCGAGGGCGCGGTCCATATTCTCCACTCTCCTCAGCTTGGTCTCCAGCGTGGTCAGTAGCACCTCGAACAGGTTGAAGATATATGGGTCTCTGTCGGAGGGAGAGAGAGAGAACGGTGTGTTAGTTTCGGAGATATCTAGAAGATATTTAGAGATATTTTGATGAGATATAAGAGAACAGGGAATGTAACTATTTCCCCATCACGGAAATGAGAGGATGGAGCTATGATTATTAGTAGTAATTTAGTGGAGATATACCACCCGTACACGAGGCGTCAAGAGGCAATAGAGGGGACAATGTCCTCCCCTAGAGAACATGAGTACGCCTGCTAAGACTTCTTACCTTTTTATATATATATATATATATATATATATATATATATATATATATATATATATATATATATATATATATATATATATATATATATATATATATATATATATATATATATATATATATATATATTGCAGTGCAAAGGGCTTCTGTAAGCAGGTGGCAAGAATGAGAACTTGTCGTATTATATATAATTAAAGTTCAAGGGTGTAAACTTGTTGTAGAATGAGATAGACGTATGTACTCAGCTAGTTGTGCTTGCGGGGGTTAAGCTTTGGCTCATTGGTCCTGCCTCTCAACCGTCAATCAACTGGTGTACAGGTTCCTGAGCCTACTGGGCTCTATCATATCTACATTTGAAACTGTGTATGGAGTCAGCTTCCACCACATCACTGCCTAATGCATTCCATTTGTTAATTACTCTGAAACTGAAAAAAATCTTTCTAATGTCCCTGTGGCTCATTTGGATACTAAGTTTCCACCTGTGTTCCCTTGTTCGTGTTCCACCCGTGCTAAAGAGTTTGTCTTTGTCCACCCTGTTAATGGACAGGGTGGAAGTATAATTAGTATCTATGTGGTGTTATAATTGTGTGGAAGGATGGTTGGCCTGTGGTTAAGTGTGGTCGAGTGATTATGGTAATCAATGTAAAGTTTCGTACAATTGGTTAAGTGTAGCAGAATGATATTCTTATTATTATTTATATATAAAAGAGTTCTTACATTCTAACGTTTCGGGCAGGTCCTTAATCCTAATTTTACCCTGGAATACGACCCGCTAAATCGTTTAACAACCAGGTAGCTATTCACTGCTGGGTGAACAGAGGAGTACAGTTAAAATTTGGCGCATAGTCAATCCTCCCCGGTCAGGATACGAATCCAAGGCGAAGCGCAGGGCGAGTATGTTACCACTGCGCAACGGGGATGGCTAAGAACAGAGGTCACCAAGGTGGACATCTTGACGACGTCCGGATATCAGCAGATGTCAGGCTGGGCGCCAATAAGTTAAGGTGACCTATTTTCTCTCCATTAACTGTCTGTCTCCATTAACTGTCTTTTGTCTGTGTTATAAACACAGACAAAAGAAAATCGACCTGATTTACCGATTATTACAGCAGCTGATGTGGTGGAAACGATCATTTTGTATTTAACTCTCACGAAGGTCTGGTGTCAGCTGTGTCTTGTTGTGTCAGCTGTGTCTTGTTGTGTCAGCTGTACTTCGTTATGTCAGCTGTATCTCGGTTAGGCAGGTCACGGTCATCGTTTTGCTACTCAACAGTTCCTTCTGACGTTAATCCATACCCTGCATTAATCATTCAACCGTATGTCATTCACAATACGATCAATCACTCCTACAGTCATTCGTGTAATAGTTATTCACGCTACAGCCATTAGCCTGACTTTAGTACAAGTTGACAATATTATCCATTTTGAAGCCATCCCAAAGAGACTAACTTCACCCATTAGTCAACTTGATATCAGCAGAAACAATGGTGAATCAGCAGAGCCAGCAGATAAAGTGGTGAGCTGGTGGAGGGAGCAGAGACAGCAGTGAACAAGCAGAGTAAACAGAGGCAGCGAACTTGTAAATGCATCAGTTGCAGCAGAGAACTAATAGATGCAGCAGAACAACAGTGAACCAAAGACGTAGGATATCCAGCAGTGACAGCAAAGAAAGCCGAATTCCTACAGATGCAGTAATGATTCAGTTGTGGCCGACGATCCAGGAATGAATCAGTAGAGATATCAGAACCAACAGTAAATCACCAAAATCAGAGACGAGAAAGACAGTAGAGATAACAATATCTACAAGGGCAGCAGATGATGGATAAACAGCAGACAACATTTAGTCAACAAAAAGAGTAGAAGGGTGAGTCAGTCAGAGCTAGGACCAATACATCAAGGCGGGTCACAAGGAAATTATAGTTCGAGGAGTGAGTTACGTATGTTTAGTGGGGGAGGGGTACCTAGTTAAGGAAAGGTTGGTGGCTAGAGGTTGCGCCTGCATGGTTAGAAGAGGCGACTCCACACCTGACACTCGCCTCCACACAGGTGTGGAGCTACACCTGACTCTCACCCATCAAAAGTCCACCTCAAGAAAGGTTTATGAGGGAGCGAGTTGAGTCTAACCTCTACTAAATGAAAACAAAGGAGCATGAGTTATGTTTTCTAAGCTAAGGCACTCGCCTTAGCTTAGAAAACATAACTCATATTTCTCACAAGGAACAATGCAGGTGTACTCTGCACAGCCGCCAATCAACTCGTTATGGCGCAACAAATTATTTATTAACCAATTGTTCAAATCTTTCTTGAACGGCGCGATGTAACGCTCCTGTTGGTCCATGTAAGAGCGGTACACGCTCCTGTTGGTCCATGTAAGAGCGGTACACGCTCCTGTTGGTCCATGTAAGAGCGGTACACGCTCCTGTTTGTCCATGTAAGAGCGGTGCACGCTCCTGTTGGTCCATGTAAGAGCGGTACACGCTCCTGTTGGTCCATGTAAGAGCGGTACACGCTCCTGTTGGTTCATGTAAGAGCGGTACACGCTCCTGTTTGTCCATGTAAGAGCGGTACACGCTCCTGTTGGTCCATGTAAGAGCGGTACACGCTCCTGTTGGTTCATGTAAGAGCGGTACACGCTCCTGTTGGTCCATGTAAGAGCGGTACACGCTCCTGTTGGTCCATGTAAGAGCGGTACACGCTCCTGTTGGTCCATGTAAGAGCGGTACACGCTCTTACATGGTTTGTAAACAATCTAATGCCACTCCAGAATGAATGCATTAGTGTACTGCTGCCATGTGTCACTAGCGTGAAGCGAGTCGTCAACCATTCGCGTGTCCTCTTACGAAACCTGTACATCTTTTCCTTGATCATCGAGGCTCACTCTGTAATTATTAGACAATTTGTGAGCTTGGAAACTTCACAAGCCAAGGTTATTATTGTTATAAACAACCTCAGAGCGCTTCGGAGCTTATAAACTAGTTAATAAGTGTAAACTTAGCCGCCATAACTGAGGAGAGATTTGGAGGACTGATGCTTGATGAATCACATGGCCTGGGTGATTAGTGAGGAGTGAAGAGTGGGCTTGTTGACGGGCTCATCACTTACCATATAATTCGTTGTGTCTGGGACAGGCAGTCAGTGTATATGCATGTTAGGCATATACAGAAATATCCAGACCCCTCCCTCCCTAGCCCCTAAGGTCGCCACTAAGGTCGCCCCTAAGGCCGCCCCTAAGGTCGAACTGCAGACTCTTCCCAGGATGCAAACCCGAGAACCAGCCGACAAACTGCTAGGTACCTATTTACCGGCAGGTGAAGAGGGGGATATTTGGTGCCCCAACTATTTCTGTCCAGCCCCCCCCCCCTCTCCATCCCTCGGATTCGAACCCGGAATTTAATTGACAGTCGAGAACGAACCCGATTATGCTACCAGGACACTTTGTTTCTAAGAGGCAACACGGGCTGTTTGGAAGGGACTTGCCTGCTACTTGAATTCGTGCGACTTCATCCGAAGGAGCCAACAAGGGTCCTATAGGAAGCGACAAAGGTTACCTTACCTTGAGGTTACCTTGAGGTGCTTCCGGGGCTTAGCGTCCCCGCGGCCCGGTCGTCGACCAAGCCTCCTGGGACGTCGACCAGGCCTCCTGGGACGTCGACCAGGCCTCCTGCGTCGTCGACCAGGCCTCCTGGGTCGTCGACGAGGCCTCCTGGGTCGTCGACCAGGCCTCCTGGGTCGTCGACCAGGCCTCCTGGGTCGTCGACCAGGCCTCCTGGGTCGTCGACCAGGCCTCCTGGGTCGTCGACCAGGCCTCCTGGGTCGTCGACCAGGCCTCCTGGGTCGTCGACCAGGCCTCCTGGGTCGTCGACCAGGCCTCCTGGTCGAAGGTAACGAAGCAGCCGACAGGTGTCACACACACAGCCGCCGACAATTAGATAGTGCGAATGGGACCGATATTGGCGCCATTTACGAGAGCGCAGAGAATGGAAGGGAGAGGAAATGCCGCCATTCCTTCCACGAGAGGTCGAGCCTTTTTACCCACCGGCCCGACCACTCTCCCTCACACTCCACACCGCTCACCCCCTCAGTAACTTAGCAACCTGTTCACCACCGGTCGAGAACAGGCGTACGTCTCTCTAGTGGACAAGGCTCAGGCCGGAACCGGTTATTGGGCTGAGGAGAACATGGGGGGGGGGGGGGAGAGACACGGTTGGGGGGAGGGGTTATGTCACTAGGGTTATGATTGGCTGTAGACAGTCACTGTCAACGTTACTGTGGGGGGAGGGGGGTGTCCAAGGGTGGGGACGAAATCGTCTGACCCTCCACAAACGTCAGACCCTCCACAAACGTCAGACCCTCCACAAACAACGTCAGACCCTCCACAAACAACGTCAGACCCTCCACAAACAACGTCAGACCCTCCACAAACGTCAGACCCTCCACAAACAACGTCAGACCCTCCACAAACAACGTCAGACCCTCCACAAACAACGTCAGACCCTCCACAAACAACGTCAGACCCTCCACAAACAACGTCAGACCCTCCACAAACAACGTCAGACCCTCCACAAACGTCAGACCCTCCACAAACAACGTCAGACCATCCACAAACAACGTCAGACCATCCACAAACAACGTCAGACCATCCACAAACAACGTCAGACCCTCCACAAACAACGTCAGACCCTCCACAAACAACGTCAGACCCTCCACAAACAACCCCAGACCCTCCACAAACAACAGATTATCAAATATCA